TAGGCTTACCCTAGGGAACCTCCGACTCTATCCAACCCAGTCCTCAACTGCTGAAGGTCTCTTTGTAATGCCAATTAGCCATTACCTGAATACAATCACATGCAATGAGGCTCGGATAATCCTTCGAGTAAGGGACTCATCCCTACAACGGTTAGGACTCAGACAAGAGCTACGCAATAGGGTCAAATCCAATCCTCTAAGATTATCCAACCCTGGCCACATGTGACTTTAACGTATTCACCTAAAAGCTAACTCCCATCACTCAAAAACCCACAACGCACAAAGCAAGCAACATTCAGACAAAAGGGAACAATCTCAAGCAAATCCGTTCTTATGGAGAGAAACCGTACTAGCATACAATGCTAAACTCATACTATCAGGCATAACCTAAACAGGCTATCCTACCGCTGTCTACTCAATACTAGCATGCAATTCTCATAAGCTGAAACACATAAAGCAGGCACATAAGGCATCACTCCTAGACCTTAGTCCTATTCTAGCATGTTGTTCTACTGAAACTGTTAAACATAACATAAACTCGTATGTGTACTTTGGGGAATACTTACTTGAGCTCGGCCAGTCGCGCACATCACACACTTCGTCCTTTCTTAAGACTCTTCATTTAAATTTTAGAAAACTTTTCTTTTTCGAAATCTTTTAATCCCTCGATTTGAGTTCAGACACTCCCGGAGGTGTGTCCGAATCCCTCAAACCAGGGCTCTGATACCAACTTGTAACGACCCATTTTTCACGTCCAAAAATTTCATTTTTCAAACAATACTTAGTAAAATCATTTGTAAATAAACATTGTCTAATAAAAACATTTCATAAACGTAAACCATATCTGAAAACCAAAACATGTAATCAATCAAAATGTCAGAGTGTAAATCCCATAAATGCGGAAAACAGTGTGTGTATGATGTGTCGCTACCGCGCCAGCTCCTTCCCCTTCGACGAGGAGGTACCTGAAACCAAAACTGTAAACTGTAAGCACGAAGCTAAGTGAGTTCCCCCACTATACCACATACCATATAATCACATAATGTACATATATTGTCAGGCATATCTGGGTGCCCGACCTACCCCTTCGGTCCTCTCGACCGGATAATGGCTAGCATATCTGGGTGCTGGCCTCCCCTTCGGTCCTCTCGACTGGATACTGACTAGCATATCTGGGTGCTGGTCTCCCCTTCGGTCCTCTCGACCGGATACTGGGGACTATTTCACCCTCTACTACTACCACATAACACATATCACATAATCTATCTAGCATGGTTGGGCATGGCTACCCCTTCGGCCCTATCGATCGGTAATCTAGGGACTATCTCCCTTACTGTCACTAGCACATAGCATCATATCATACTAGCACATAAACATATCAGGTAGTAGCAAACCTAGATGAATATCACGGAGACAATCATCTAATCATACAACTCCTACGGATGGGCCGGCATTGTGGCCGTAGACCCACCGCTACTGGAAGGTAACTCACCTCGTAGTAGCTGCTGATCTGCGCGGGAACTGTCTGTCTGCTGCTGCTGCTGCTCCGGAAATCCTCCGGATGTAATTTCCCACAAAACACTCAATCAAACACTGCTAACTGCCCTTGGGGTAAAATGACCATTTTACCCCTGACCAAGTCAAAGTCAAAGTCAACTACCTGACTCGCCGAGTCCCTATCCTTCCCATTTGTCCTCATACCCGACTCTACTCGTCGAGTTAGGCGATGACTCGACGAGTTCTCCTTCTAAACTGATGTCCAATGATCCTTCATCCGACTCGCCGAGTTGTATGAACAACTCGTCGAGTTCATCTTCATCTGATGAACACTCTAGACTGTGACTCGCCGAGTTGTATGAACAACTCGTCGAGTCTGTTCTTGAGGCAAGAAGATTGCCTTGGACTCGCCGAGTCAGGGCATTAACTCGCCGAGTCCCTCCATTATTGGGTCTGGCCTCCGACTCACTGAGTCCACCTATGGCTCACTGATTCCACTCGGCATAACTCGAAAGGGGGTAATCGGGGACTCGCGACTCGACTCGCCGAGTCCGATGAACGACTCGCTGAGTCGCATACATGCAATCTCTATACACTCGATTCTGCTTGAATCCAGTGCATCCTATTTATAGATCTGGGTTCTTAGGGCTTGATTAACACGTAAAGTTTCCAACTTTACGTGTAAATAATCATCAATGGAGGTTTTAAGGCTCAAAACACACTAAAAGGGGTAGCCCTAGGGCTTTCATGCAATATGGCCCCATAAAGGTATTAGATTCAGGCTTCTGGAACTCAAACATAGCTAGATCTAGTGGCTATTCAACCCATTATGATCCCTACACTACTATCAAGCTTGGAAATGGTTCAAGAATAGCTTTAATGGGGATTCAAGCATATAAACGGAATAGATCCGAATTGTACCTCAATGAACTCTGGACTAGGTCTTAGATCCTTGCTCATCACCTTCTCTTTTGGTCTTTCCTTCCTCCTCTTCTTCAATCTTCAAGGAACAAGCACATAAACACTTCAAAACACAAGGAGAGGGTTAGGGTTTGATATAGGATGCTTTGGGGGTGAAGGAGACTGGCTTGGGGCGCATAAGGGGGGTTTAAATAGGGTGCAAACCCTTGAAATTAGGGTTTCTTCCAGACTGGCGGACTCGCCGAGTCCAGAATATGGACTCGCCGAGTCTCCAACTTAAACGTGCTCAATATCCCATCCCTACTCGGCGAGTCAGGCCTACAACTCGCCGAGTCCAAGGCTAAAAATGTGAAATACTTAGATAAATCATACATATCAGGAACCAGGTGCTACACACAGTCCAATATCGACATTTTTCATACACATCCTGAAATCTTCATTTTTGATATCATAACCTTCTTATAGTCCAACATTACTTTTTCAAAAAAACATGCATATAAAACATAATTTTGTTACTTTTAAAGATCAATTTATATATATATATATATATATATATATATATATATATATATATATATATATATATATAAGTTGAAATGGAAAAAGAAAATAAGATTTTATATTTTTGTTGGGTTGTTGATAAATGGTAAAAATATTGATATTGAATGGTACCGGCGTTTGGGTAGGTGTAGGAATGAAAAAAAAATATTTTAATGACAAACATGGTCTTACAAAAGCCGTACCACCATGCTAATGATTCAGAATTCCAAAAGAAATAAACTCAAAGCCAAATATGGAGATTTTTTAAGCAAAAAATATACAAATACAAGAAATTATGTTCAACAAAATCAAAACGTATGAACCCAATCCAATTCAAACATTATCAACATTCAACGGCCATACTCCATTGAACAAATGAGTGAAAACATAAACATACAAACCACAAAACCAAACACAAACACCAACACCAACACGATGGATACACAATCAATCAGAGCTCCGAAGAGCTGCAGGGATGTAATTTGACAACTCGGCCGTGAAAGCCATTAACCAATTGTGTGTGGAAATCTTGATCTTCATCCCCAATTAAGACTAAAATGCACACGTATAGCTCTCTCTATCCCTGTAGCAATGTACTTGATTTTTACCCATACCCATAATAGCATCATACTTACATTCATTTACTACTGGTAATAACAATATGCAACATGAAGCTAATAAAATGCACATTATTTCTTACTCATAAAAGCAATGTACTTGAATTTTTTTACCCACAATAGCAACATACTTAAATTTCGTTTACTTTGGTATTGATAAAGTTAATATGTAATTTGACATTTCACCTACACACTACTTTTTACTCTCTATCAGGTAAAAAGTATATCAGGCAAAAAGTACTTTACTTTTTACCCATTAGCCACTTATACTTTTTACTCAGAATAGCAACGTACTTGCATTCACTTTATTTCTTATCCGTGATAGCAAAGATACTTGTATTTATTTACCCATGATAGAGACATACTTACATTTTTTTACCCATACTAGCAATGTACAGACTGTTTATTAATTATAGCAAGATGTAATTTAACCTTTCACCTACACACTAATCTTTAGCTAATCAGGAAAATTGCAGGAAATAAATCATGGTATACCCTATCAGGCAACGTACTTTGCGTGCTACCCATAATGACTAAGTACTTATACTTTTTACTCATAATAGCAACGTACTTGCATTCATTTATTGATACTTTTTTCTTACCCAATTGTACTTGCATTTCTTTACCTATCATAGCAACATACTTTAATTTACCAAGAATAACATTTGTTACAAGTTTCAGGTTACATATTGATATCATCGGTAATGAAATTAAAGTAAACTGCTATTATGGGTTAATAAATGTAAGTAAGCTGCTATTATCACTTATTTTTTTACACATAATGACAATGGACTTGTATTTTCACTCATAATAGCAACACACTTACATTCATTGACTAGTTTCAATAGAGAAATGAAAGTAGGTTGCATGATGAAGATAGGATGCTCACTTGAACTGCAACGGATCCTTGAAGTATTCTCTGTAAACTCTGGAGACGTGGAAGCTGATCACCATCAGAGCTTCTGGGCTCTTCCGGTTCATTTCTCAAAGCAGCAGTTTGTGTTTCAATCATACCAATCGCATTCTCCACTGGTGGAAACTCAAGAGACTCTGATTTCGTAACCAAAAGCCGATTCACTAAAGCAGGAAGAGAACCCTGCGTTTGAACCACTGTCCTCCTTTTCCACTGATCTTCCAATCCACCTTGTGTCTTACCATTTTTAGTAAACGGAGTATCAAACAGAAACCTGTCAAAAACACGTGCACGTACAGAACCAGTGGAAAGTGAAAAAATCCTCTCCCTTGGCCTTCTGCTTCCTATATCTTCATCTTCCATGATCAGATCAACAGCTGTGATTTGGAGATAACATATGCCAGGCTGTAACTCCTCTGCTTTTACTTGTCTAGAATCCGGGATTATATGCAGAGTGTGATTACCATCCATACGTAACTCGTATATATGACTAAGTTTTTCCATTATGTCACCTAACCGAACATCACGAGGCTCTCTGTAGACATATTCTTTTTTATCAAGTTTTCCAAATTTATCCCCGTAAAATCCAACTCGGTAATATGTGGCGTCTGTGAATGGGATTGGGCTTGATTCTTGTTCAAGGATTGATTCGTAGATGTTTGTGAGCATACTGTGGCATTTTGCCAGCTGTCCGTAACTGGAATCACAAGTTCCAGAATGCTTCCACAGAAGTGATAGAGTTCGGCTTGTGAGAAAAGTTTGTTTGCCAGCTGTAAGTATTTCACAGCTGAATCCACTGTTAGTTTTGATGCACCATATCCTTCCACTTCTGCTGCTGAGGTTTCTGATGTGATCTCTGTGCTCACCAAAGGATAGATTTTGCGGAGTGTAGTCACATGGTTGTTGCTCCAGACTCCATCATTTCTGCTCACAAGAGCCTACAAGGAAACATGATATATCATATAACTTTTTACAAATTTGCCCTCATTTATTCAGACAGACATAAAGGGGAAAAACAGGGATTTACCTGCATAACAACACCAGCAACAGCAACTGCACATTGAGCAGCTTCAGCCCATGATTGCATCTCCTGATGTGCATCACAAAGATGTAATAACCACATTATATGAAGATCTGGCACTGGAGCAAATGCCATTGCAAGCTTATAAAAGCTTTCAGCAGCAGCATATCTATCTGTGTTCATAAGTGATCCCTATAGTACAAAAACCAGGTTTTAATGTTAGTAAAAAGTTTTTTTTTCCTTATATTGGTAAAAAAAGATCAGGCTTACCAGAAGTGCATGTTCCAGACTAGCATTGAGAGCCAGAAGGAGGCTGTTAGATAAAAACTTCACCTCTGACCATGACCATTTACTTTCTGTTGACTTTTCTGGGATGTCAACAAGTGAAGTTCCCGGAAGCCCGCATTCGGTTAGTAAGTTTCCACTCTTGCTTTCATCTGCCATTTCCTCTAGTGATTTTCGAAGACGGCATGCTTCACCACTTTCTTCAAGGGTCCCATCAGACTTCATTTGAGTCACTTGGACATCAGACGTGAGTTCTGGTAATGTGATTGTAAGCATGGCCCTCAATCTTGCTGTCTGTGTAAAGTGTGAGAAAGAGCTCTGCCAAATTGAAAACAGACAATTAGGACAAAGTGTGAGAAGTATTAGGCTAAAAGTGTGTAAATGACACGTACCCTCACAAGGATCTGTAACCCTATGACAGCTCTTTTTCTGATATTTTCATTGCAGAAAACAGCAAGCCTGAGAAGATGGAAAGCAATTTGCTTTAAGAAACGATTGTTTTCCCTTGCCATTAGTGTTTCCCCATGAAGCTGAAACACATTGTTGAATACTGGGAATAGGGATTTCCAGAATGCTAGTGGTTGACTTCGGGAGAAGATACTGGTGAATATGGATGTCATGCAATCCAACTTTCCATAATCAGTTGCAATACTATGTGATGCAGCAGCTTTGGAGAATTTCTCTGTTATTTCCAGTATTTGGAGACTAATGGCAGCACTAAGGTTTTCTTCCCAAAGTTCCTGAATAAGAAATCAATACTTCAATTTCAATTAATGAAATCTACAATTTTTCTAAGTACTACATGTATTTCAGAATACATACAAGTTTTTGCCTCAAAACTGGATGCAGAGATTCTCTCAGTGCTTGTGTTGAAGCTCCAATTCTAGAAGATGGTGCTTGAGCCAAAGCTTCTCTCAAGGACAACGGTTAACTATCAGAAGGATCCCTCCCAGGCATTTCAACAACCAGGTCATGATCACAAATGATTTGTAGAAACGTAAGCTTGCACTCATGCAAAACTGATTGACATACCCCAGAGAACTTATCCAGGTATAAGGACACCAATTCAAAAACTTGTCGAGGCTCAATGGTTGATTTTGCTAAACTTAACCCCCTTTTACAACGTTCATGCACCTCAGTCAGAAGACAATCATATAATTGCATGATGCATCTAAACACACCTTCTTTCAACTGTATCGGTGGGATATCTTCACCTGTTCAAAATCAATGAGATTAGGGTTTCAACTGATTATATATGATTACTCGATAGAAGATACCTAGTGACAGATTGTGGTACAACAGTCGAGTCTGCTCTAGTGTCATTGACTTCACAATCAATTCAAGGAAAAACCAAGCCATGGATAGCACATCATCATACACTGGTCCCACCCGGTAGCCTTTGGCCTACAACATAATATTCTCCATGAAAGCCTTTATTGAAGGTTATGTATTTCAGTGATATGAAACTAATGAAAGGGACATTTACCTTGCTACGAGCCAAACTTCACCAGATATACATTTCTTTCAGCTTCATCAACAGACTCTTGCTGCGCTCTACAGAATTAACAATGGTAGACAGTTTTTTTATGTTGATAAACAAAAATGATATACCACTATTGTGCGAAACTTTTCAGAAGTACATACATACCTTGTCAAAATATTAACCATAGCTCTGAAAGAAGCAACCTGGAGGGTTTCTCCACCATTGCCAATAAAATGTAGAAGCATATTCAATATTGGATGAAGAAATTGTAGCAGAGCAGTTGAGTCAACATTTTTCAAACTGTTGATTGCCTGAAAAGGAGTTCAATGCACATTAGATTGCAATTTCATAATGTAGATTCACTTAGAAAGAAGAGCAAATTACATTTGTGGTCCCTTTGTCCCCCAAAAGTTTCCTCTTGCAAATTTGGTCCTTATTATGGTTTTTGTAATGCTTTTGGTACATGTTTCAAGTAAAATGACTACTTTTGGGACCAAAATTGCATAAACCAGCTATACTCGGGGAGCAAAAATAGTCATTTTACTTTGGAACAGGGACCAAAAACGTTTTAACAACCTCATACAAGGACCAAAGTTGCAAAAATCTGCTACATTCAGGGACCAAAAATGTAATTTACTCTAGAAAGAAAAATGAATAGTACCTCAAGGAGTTTAGAACCCCAAGGTGGGCTTGTACGAAGAGTATGTCTATCATATTCAAGGAAAAAATCGCGAATACGTTCACTAATAGGGTACAATGATGAACAAAGGCGTAACCGTAATCCGAACACATTTTTCCCATCTTCCAGGTAATCCAGCCTCTCCTATACGAGGGTAAATAAGTAAATAACAACAATAATGATATAAAAGAGTATATAAGTAAAATATCACATACCTGGCCAGTATCTTGAAGATAGTGTGGGACCCACTCTTTCGTAATTGGTAGAGAGATCTCGGATCTTAACTGAGCATGTGTTGATAAAAGGAAGAGCCGCATATCCAAGTATTAGTGCCTTTGGAGCCTCTCTAACTTTGTCTGAAGGTCAATATGAAAGAAAGTGAACAGAAGGTGATGTTGTGGGGTCCACATCGAGGGTAGTGAAACTTTAATTTCATCATGGCAGCAAGCCATCCTACTTCCAGGGTCGACTTGTGTGTGGGCCCATTTTTTTAGGGTTGACCCCAGCCCCCTTGCATACATTAAGTTTTTATTTTCAAAAGTATGTGTTACAGTAGGCTAAATTATATCTTCACGAACCTCTAGTGACTGTTTTCGAGCATCCGCATCATCTTTTCGAAGTTCAATTCGTATGAACAAGTTCCTTCGACTTAAACTGACAGTCAATGGGTAGACATAAAGACAATGGAAAAGCTGTAAGAAAGGCTCGTATCTTATTGTTGTATGGAAGTCAAAAGCTTGAACATCATTAACAGTCAAATCCACAAGTCCTGTTGAATTTGATCCGTTTAAGGTTTGTTCTTTATGTCTATTTGAATGTATGTTGCGCCATTCGTTGACTGTGGAATCAGTTAGTTGACCCCCATGGTCAACTTCATTGGCTATACTGCCACTCTCTGAAGCGTTGTCATATTCGGTGTTATAAGCAGCTTGAAGTTTTTCTATTTCCAACCTTAAGACACCTTTCACAGGCTTATGAACCTTCCTTTTGGGATCCTGAAAATAATTAGTTACCAATCTATAAGTCTGAACAATTTGTCTCAATAGTAGATTGTGAAGACAGGTGGATGTTGATTCATGTGTATTTAGATAAAGCATGTTGGTTTTGGTTTACCTGGAGAGAATCTTCAGTGTAGCTCTCTTTAACTTTATTTAGGTTAAACTTCAACCACAACAGAAATTCCACTTGAGTAGCCGACTTGACAGCCCTCCTGCAAATTAACTCCTGAAAGACTATGAGCAAGTGGGCTACTTGGAGAAGCAGGTCTCCATTAGATGTTGAACCAGTGTTGCTATCAAATAGTGGGATGATTGCCCATGAAAAGGCCTCTCGAGACCAAACTTGTAGTTTTTGCTTCTCTCTTTCAGTAAGATGGACCTATTAAAGGTAACTCATAGTTAGAAGATAAACAGAATGATACAAAAAGCAAGTGATGCATATATCATGACCATTAATGTCTTTTTACATACTGGTTCCTTTCGTGAATAAACAGATGGAGTGACTCCGCCTTCTTCAGTAGCAAACTTTTCTAATCGTATAAGCAGGCAGATTGATGATGACGCGGGGGGTCTAAATAGCAAAGTCCACGTGATTCAGAAGAACTGCTAGCCTGATGAGGTTAATAAAAAACAAGCAAATATATCAGCTCTTGCTAATTAAACTTATATTAGAAAGAGAAAGAAATTTTAGTGGTGCTTACATCTTGCATTTCAGAAGGCAGAACACGAAAAATGAAGTCCTCTGAGAGCTTTTCTCTTCTCTCTTTATTATACGATGATATAGTGCCATAAAACGGCTCTACAATAGAAATTCCATTGGTATCAGATTTAAAAGCATAAAAATGAAGTTATCTTACAAACATGAGTGAAATTAAAGGTTATGATCTCACCAACTAATCCTGCTTGAAATGACAGGGAAAGAACTTTTACAGAAATCGTCAACCCAAATACATGGCAAAAATATTATAAGTTATAAGTGTTTACGGGTATAAGTAAAGCCAAAACTTGGATGCATTAAACCAAATGATATAAGTCTAAACCTCGAAGACTGTGGCATATTAGATTCTAGAATTCTTTGTCCAAATATGATTGACCTCTCCTTTTCCCAGTCAAATACAGGTTCATAAGCAGGCAAGGGGGATTCACCATAGTGCTGGATAAAGAATTAAAGTAAGCAAGCAAAATGATTCCACATATGCAACTTAAATATAAAGAAGATTTGGTGAAACGAACCTCTGTAAGCTGTCTACCAGAGGTACTGGGTACATCATCATCAGTAATGTCTTCAATCTTATCTTGCCTAGCATTGGCAAGATGCATTTCTGCAGTGTTCAAAGGAAGCATCATAATGAATAATTTGTGTTAGTAGAAAGAAGATATTCTGATCCTAAAAGTACATTTTTTGCATGTGTTACCTGTTTCAATAGAAGATACCTAGAGATAGATTATGATACAACAGTAATGCCATTGACCTCACAACTAATTCTAGGAAAAACAAGCCACTGATAGCACATCATCATATACCGGTCCCACCCTGTAGCCTTGGGCCTACAAAATAACATTCTCCACAAAAGCCATTATTGAAGATTATATGTAGATATGTAGTAAGTCAGCTCATGCGAGAATAATGTTGCCATTATGAACAAACCTGCAATGGAAACTAGACAAACAAAAAAGGGAAGACAGAAGAGATACTTCAATTACTGATGCAAATGACAGGTATATGTAGATTTCACTGTTATTTGTATTTTCTAATAATATTTGCAAAGAGTTACAATGATAGAAGTCGACAGAATTTGCAAAGTGTACAATTTTTTTGGAAATATAGTATTTTTACAGTGAGCTAAGAATGTGGTAAGCTTTGGTAATCCATTTTATGCAAAGCAGCTGTTGTACTACGACCCGGGGGGTTTTCCACTTTCTTCTCCACCCAATCCCTTCATAAACTCCGGCCCCTCTGAGCTTTTTGTTACACTTGACGACGCCTCCAAGTTATGATTATGGAGATAACTCGCAGCAATTGTAGTCAACATCACTTTTGCATCTTTGCTATTAATTCCATCTAAACCACAAAAGAGCTTAATGGCATCATTTACACGTCCAGCTCTCCCATACAGCTTGATCATAATTGCATGATGCCTTGAATTGGGCTTTATTTGATACTTCCTCGCCATGTTATGATACAACTCTAAGCACTTCTCAATCATACCAGCCTCAGCATATGTATTCATGGCCATTTCAACAGTGAGATCATTTGGTTTGACACCTGACTCCTCCATTTGTTTTAAGGTCTCATCAACCTCCAATGCTGATCCGTTTCTACAGAAGCTACTAAAAAGAGAGTTCCAAGTATAGATGTTTCTATCAAAGACTGGAATTTCAGAAAAAACCTTTTTGGCATCCAGTGGATGCCCAATTTTGCCATAATACGAAACTAGTGCATTCATCGGTCTTGTATAGAGAAGACCGGTCTTGTAAATATAACCTTGTACAATCCTTCCAAATATCGAGGTCATTTCACTTATTGGATTAACTTCTGCATCATCCCAGGGCTTAGCTGATCCAATAGCTGCTCCTAAGATCCTTTCATCTGAATAAGCATGTCCAAGTGCAAGGAATCTCTTAAAGAGATCCCCTACCTCTGCAAAATCCATTTCTCGTACATTCACATACATATAGATGTTCCATGTATCAAGATCTTCTGTTTGCATCTCAGCAAAGATGTTGCTACATTGTTTGAGTGTGCCATGAGCAATATAAAAGTTCAGGGTTGATTTATGAACCTTTACATCTGTTTGGATCGAGACACGAACACGAAACTCTCTCTCTCAGCTCATGAATTATAGAAAAAGGAGAACACAAAGATTTAAGGTGGTTCGGTCTATTTCTGACCTACGTCCACACGAGGGTAACTAGGAGTTTTTATTTCTTCTTCTTTTTTGTGTGTTATGAAACTACAGATACAAATACAATCTTATATAGGATTGAATGGAGAAAAAAGGAAAGCCATAAAACATGGTCCGTAAGAACCGGATCACCATTCCTTTTTAATCAACCTTTTTTACTAACTTTTCTGTGGACCACTTTGACGTGGATTCACACTCAACAATCTCCCACTTGAAGCCACGGAACAATCTTCACCTGTGTTTCAACTGTGCATCTGTATTTCTGTAAAACACTTTTGATCTTGACTCCATCCTAGTTACCCGGCCTTCTCTTCAATTATCCTGAAGGCCAGTTGAAGCTATACAAAGCTTCAACTTCTCTAAGGTGACAACCTTAGTCAACATATCAGCTGGATTTTCAGTTCCTTTGATCTTATTCAACTTCAGAGTGCCATCATTAATTCTTTCTCTGATGAAGTGATATCTCAGCTGTATGTGCTTTGTCTTCGAATGGAAGACGGGATTCTTTGCAAGATGAATTGCACTTTGATTGTCACAGAATAGTTCACAATTATCTTGTTCTTTGCCAAGTTCGATGAGAAAATTCTTCAACCATATAAGTTCTTTGTTTGCTTCAGCAACTGCCATATACTCTGCTTCTGTGGTTGAAAGGGCAACACTTTTCTGTAATTTGGACATCCAACTTACCGCAGTGTCTCCCACTATAAAGACATACCCGGTAGTGCTTTTGTATGATTCTTTGCAACCACCAAGGTCTGCATCCGCAAAACCCTTCAGAATAACATCTTTCCCCTTAAAATGTAATGCCACTTTTGAAGTCCCCTTCAAATATCTTAGCAGCCATTTAACTGCTTCCCAATTTTCTCTCCCCGGATTGGACATAAACCAACTAACAACTCCCACTGCATGAGCAATATCTGGTCTCGTGCATACCATTGCATACATGAGGCTACCAACTGTAGATGCATATGGAACTTTAGCCATTTCTGCTTTGTCTTCATCTGATTTGGGTGATTGATTTTTAGAAAGCTTAAAGTGACTTCCCAAGGGTGTGCTTCTGATCTTGGCTTCTTTAAGGCTGAATTTCTCTAACACTTTCTCAATGTACTTCTCTTGAGAGAGTGTCAAAGAGCCATCTTCTTTTTTTCTGGAAATACTCATCCCGAGTATTTGGTTTGCAGCTCCCAAGTCTTTCATCTCGAATTCTTCAGACATTTGTTTCTTTAACTTCTTGATCTCTGACATGTCTGAACCGACAATCAACATATCATCTACATAGAGTAGTAGAATGATATAAGAACCCTTAAACTTCTTGATGTAACAACAATGATCATTGTCACATCTCTTGTAACCAACTCTTCTCATGAAGTTATCAAACTTCAAATACCATTGTCTGGGTGCTTGTTTCAGACCATACAAACTCTTCTTTAATTTACACACCAAGTTTCCTTTGCCTTTAACCTGGAAATCCTCTGGTTGTGTCATGTAAATGTCTTCTTCTAGGTCACCGTGTAGAAAAGCTGTCTTGACATCTAGCTGCTCTAGATGCAAACCTTCTGCTGCTACAATACTGAGAACAAGTCTGATAGTGGTCATCTTCACTACTGGAGAGAATATTTCATTGAAATCGATTCCCTCTTTCTGTTGAAAGCCCTTGACTACTAATCTTGCTTTGTACCGTTGGTACCATCATGTTCATCTTTGACCCTGAAAACCCATTTATTCTGAAGAGCCTTCTTCCCAACTAGAAGCTTTGTTAAGTGTCAGGTCTTGTTCTTCTCAAGCGACTTCATTTCATCTTTCATTGCTAACTCCCACGGCAATGAATCTTTCAACCCTATAGCTTCAGAGTAACACTGGGGTTCACCGTTTTCTGTCAAAAGAATGTAGTTGACAGATGGTGAGTATTTGTTTGGTGGTCTGGTGACTCTGGAAGATCTTCTTAGTTGAACTTGAGGTGTGACTGGGGACTCTGGAGTTAGAGGACTGGTTTCTTCATCTTCAGAATCATTATTGGAATTATCCACTGAGCTCCCACTGTTAGTTGAATCATCCCCAGATTCAGGGATTTCGACTGGAGCTTCTTTCTTCTTTTCAACACCTTCAAACTCAACATATTCCTTCTGATCTTCTGGACTTTTGTTGTTTCTGTCTTTGTATAACTCGGCTTCGTTAAAGGTGACATTCTTGCTTCAGATTATCTTTCTGCTTTCACTATCCCAAAGCCTGTAACCCATTTCATCTGACCCATAACCAATGAATGTGCACTTCTTGGTCTTTGAATCAAGTTTATCCCCGTCACCATCTTTTAACAAACTGTAAGCAGTAAAACCAAAGACTTTCAGGTGTTTGAGACTTACTTCCTTCCCTTGCCACATTTCTTCTGGTAATTTAAAATCCAAGGGAACAAACGGTGAACGGTTGATCAAGTAGGCTGCAGTATTAACTGCATCGGCCCAGAATGTCTTGGGTAGACCGGCATTCAACCTCATGCTTCTAGCCTTTTCATTCAGAGTTCTATTCATTCTCTCAGCTACACCATTCTGCTGAGGAGTTCCTGGGACCGTCTTGATCATCTTTATCCCTTCTTTCGCACAATAGTCAACAAACTCCTTGCTTATGTATTCACCACCATTATCCGACTTCAGGCATTTTACCTTCAAATCAGTTTCATTTTCAACAGCAGATTTCCATATCTTAAAAGTATCAAATACATCAGATTTATTTTTAAGAAAATAGACCCATACCTTACGTGTTGAATCATCGATAAAGGTTACATAGTAGTTTTTGCCTCCTAGAGATGAAACTGATGTTGGTCCAAATACATCCGAGTGAACAAGCTCCAACTTCTGAGCTTTCGGTGTCTTCCCCGTCTTTACAAAAGTAACCCGCTTTTGTTTCCCGAGAACACAAGATTCACAAAATTCAGTTTCAACTTTCTTCAAGTCTGGAAACTTCCCTTTCTGAGCCAACATCTTCAATCCCTTATCGCTCATGTGTCCGAGTCGTTGGTGCCATAAATTAGATGGACTCGGATTGGTGGTTACGGCATGAACACCATCACCAGGTATTTCTACCATGTATAAAGTGCCTTTCTTCTTTCCTTTGGCAATCACCAAGTTGCCTTTGATCACTTTCCATTGTCCACCCCCAAAGTGAACATTAAGTCCTTCATCATCCAACTTACCAACTGAAATCAACTTTCTCCTTAAGTTTGGGATAACCCTGACATCTTTCAATGTCCAGGTGGTTCCCATGGAGGTCTTCAAATCTACGTCTCCTATACACGTAATATCAAGCACTTGATCATCGGCCAAACTAACTTTGCCAAAGTCACATGTTTGTAGGTTCTTGACCATATCCGGGCATGAGACAGCATGGAAAGAGGCACCCGAATCCATAATCCAGGATTCCACTGAATTCTCAACACAACATATGAGA